CGGCGATGCGGATGGCTCGGCGCAGCTACCCCAGCTGGCAGCACCTGGGGGACGTAATGGAGGCGGACCCGGCGGCCATGGCAGCCCTGCTACGCGCCCGTGGCCGCGTGTCGTGCGTGCTGGTGGTGGGTGGCTTCCCGTGCCGGGCCTTCGCGGGTCCGACGTCGCTCGGCAGGGCCTCGACGACCCGCGGGCGGGCCTGCCGACCACATGGTGCGGGTCGAGGATCTGCCGCGGCGGCCATGCCAGAGGCGTCGATCGTCTTCGTCGGGGAAAACGTCATGTCGGTGCCCGAGTGCGACGCGATGCGCCCGAACCAGCTCTTCGGCCGCACCCTGCCGGAGATCGTGGCTGGATGTCGGCTGGGTCCGACGTCCGCGGCTCCACTGGGTCTCGTGGGGCTTCCTGCCGTCGTTCGAGGCTGTGCCCGTCGTGGTGCGGGCCAAGACCCAGGACGTGCGGTGCGCCTGCGGGGCGGCGCTGGAGGCGGAGCGGCCGCCGCTCGAGGAGTGGCTCCCAGCCGAGGCTGCGTGCTCAGGTCCTGCTGTGGGGGGAGCTGCTGCCGACCTTCGGGCGCTGGATGCCGCGCTCGCAGATGGTCCCAGGCCGGCGGACATTGAGGAGTGCGGCACTGCGGAGCTGGCGAGCTGGGAGACGGGTGGCTTCGCTTCGCCGCCCTACCAGTTCCGTGGCAAGTGGCGCTTGCACTGGGCGGACGACCGCGTCGAGCCGTCTGACGCCAGGATGCGAGAGAAGCTGATGGTCTGCCCGGAGGACCACACTGCGCCGTGCATGATGAGCAGCGAGGCGGAGATCGAGCCCGCCAAGTACGATGCTCTTCAACAGTCCCTCGCGGGCAACTCCTTCCAGTGCGAGGTGGTGGCCGGGGTGATCGGCCACTGGGCCTTCGGTGCTGGGGGGCTGGTCCCAGTGCCCTCGCTGGGTGAGCTGCAGACAGTGCGTGAGCGTGGGCTGGCGGCGAGATGCTGTGGGCCGGCGACGTGCCGTCGCTGCACTGGGGCCGCTCCGAGATCGACGAGGGCCTGCACGCCATGCTGGACGCGCTGGCGGTCCCATCTACGTGGGTCGTGTGTCTCGGCAATGGGCCCTGGCTGCCTCGCAGTGAGGCAACCCCCCTTCTCGGCGATCTCCGTGAGGTCACGGGAGGGCGCCGTTGCCCTGCTCGCTGGTTGGATCCGCATACAACCAGCTCTCCTGCAGAGGTTGGTGTCGCTGCGCGGGGCCCTGCTCATCTGCCACTGTGGGACCGGCCAGGCGTGCCGTACAACATCCTCTTGACAGAGCTTGCGAGGCCTGACGTGGAGGAGTAATGCGAGCTGGACGCGTCCAGACGCATCGTCAGGAGCTCGTCATGGGGTCCCGCAATAACAGTGCGCACATCAGAACCGCTGGGGCCTGAGAGACGCTCAACGAGATCTTCCCGCGGGAAGAGTTCGCCCCAGGCATTGGCCCACCAGGCAGCCACTGTGGGATGCAGCGGGTTACGTCAACGCTGTCAGGTGCCAGGGCGCGCCGATGATGTTTCCCCATGGCGAAGCGGTCAAGGCGCCGCCGCCAGCACGTCTTCCTGCACCTGCTCGGCAACATAGTCAACGCGGTGCGCTGTCCAAGCGCCGCTTCAGCAGTCCTGTGTTCCATGGTGATGCGGACCCTCTCGGCGTGGGAGCTGGCGATCGGCGCGCAGGCGGTCTTCGGCTTCACGTCGTCGGCTCGGAGCCCCGCGGACGCCCCCCCGCGCGCCCCCGCGATAGGGGATGCGAGTGACCCTGCTGACCGCCGCGCTGCCGGAGCTGGGCTTGAGAGACGGAGAAACGCCAGGATGAGCGCCGCGACACTGGCGCTCAGCTTTATGTTGACTACCTTGCTGCCAATGGTCTGCCGCTGCCTTTGACGTAGAACGTCGTTGTGTTTGCCAGCGCGTTTACCCTGCGCACTTGTGGGCCGAAAGGGATGCACAAATAGTCTTGCCAATGACACCCTCAGCGGCATGCAGCACGTGCTGAGGTGAGGCGCCGCTATCCTGTGGCTTAGCAGCTGCTGACAGTCTAGAAGACTGGAGATCCCTCGGCGCGCGCCGCCGATGCCTGCCCAGCTCTGCACGGCGTTCGCGGATTAAGCGCCAGCCGCCGAACGGGTGGCTTTCGCGGCCGTGCTGCTCGTGGCCTTCCACTCTGTCTTCGCACTGGCGAGAATTTTGGGCTGCGCTGCGCATCATCTTTCTGGACCCTGTGCCCGAGGTGTGCGTCATTGCCCTGGGCCAACGCGTCCGGCCAGAAGAGCGCGCGGGAGCAGGCCACGCTCGACGACCCGCTGGTTGGCGCAGTCGTCCTCCACAGCTGCGGCGTGTGTGCCGGCTTTGGCCCTGCAGCGCGCGCCTTCCTTGACTTGTTCCGTGCCTGGCTCCAGCAGATCGGCGCCTGCACCTCGCCCTGTCACTTTACAGCCTGACACGCGGAGTACCGCGCCCGTGCCACCTGCCGTCGGGAGACTTGTCTCGTGTCTGTGCGTTTTGCAGCCCGTGACCTGCTGCAACTAATCTTTCGTGACTGGTTCAAGCTGCTGCCAGAGCTGCCGTCGCCAGTCGAGACATTTCTTCGGCCTACGGCCAGACGAAAAACACAGAATGGAGAGCTTCGGTGTCTTTTTCGAGAGTTGGCGAGCTTCATGGGCAAGGTGGCAAGGTCCTGCTGGGCTCTCAGGGGGTTCTCTTTGCTGGCCCCCCCCCAAGGCCGTCGAGCCTCCCCTGGCCCCCGAGGCCGTGGAGCGTTCTGGCCCCAGTCTTTCGGATGGTGGTCGACCCCAGTCTGCGGATGGTGGTCTGCGAATCCAGCTCTGGCCTCGGGGCGCGGTCTGTGCTCTGGCGTGGGGGGGACGGTCCGTGCAAAAGAGAGTATACCTTTCGAGCTCCGTGCAGAGGCCTCTGTATATATAAATACAAATGCCCACCGGAGTTTAAGCTCTGTCAACAGCTTTGGCCGATGAAGAGGGAAAGAGTTTTCTCCATAATTCAATAAGTTTTCGCTCCCCCCCCCCCCCCCGCCTGCCCCACACACGTATACGTTTACGGAAGATGTGTGGGCGTCGGGGGGGTAGCGTGTCACATCGGCCGCTTTCGCTTGCATGGCAGCTGTTCTGGCCCACGCACATACCGCCCTAAGTGGCAAGTGTAATTAAGTCTCGCGAGAGCTCGAACTTCATGGGCAAGGTCCTGCTGGGCTCTCAGGGGGTTCTCTTTGCTGGGCCCCCCCCAAGGCCGTCGAGCCCCCCCTGGCCCCCGAGGCCGTGGAGCGTTCTGGCCCCAGTCTTTCGGATGGTGGTCGACCCCAGTCTGCGGATGGTGGTCTGCGAATCCAGCTCTGGCCTCGGGGTGCGGTCTGTGCTCTGGCGTGGGGGGGGCGGTCCGTGCAAAAGAGAGTATACCGTTCCAGCTCCGTGCAGAGGCCTCTGTATAGATAAATACAAATGCCCATCGGAGTTTAAGCTCTGTCAACAGCTTTGGCCGATGAAGAGGGGACGAGTTTTCTTCTTAATTCAGTAAGATTTCGCTCCCCCCCCCCGCCTGCCCCACGCATATATGTGACGAACGCGCGGGATGATAATCGCTCTTAGTCGAGTTGGCTCCCCTGTTAGTATCACCAGGGCCATCGGTATCATCATCATCATCATCATCATCATCATCACCATAATCATATCCATAATTCTTTACGCTTCGCTTGCGAAGCATGTCGACCGTCGTGTTTTTTCAGGCGTGTTTCCGCCTGCCCCCGCATATTTCCCCTGTTCCTCCTTCCTCCCGCCTCCTTGTACAATCTCCTTGTGGTGGGAGCGGGAGAACGACGAGGCGGAGGAGGAGGGAGAGAAAACGCTCCTCGTGGTTTGAGTCGTTTGGGGTTTCTTGTCCTGGTGTGAGTCGTTCGGGCCCTTCTTCTTGGCGTGAATCGTTCGGGCTCTTCGTGATGTGAGTCGTTCGGGCTCTTCGTCCTGGTGTGAGTCGTTCGGGCTTCTCGTGGTGTGAGTTGTTCGGGCCCCTCGTCGTCGTGTGAGTCGTTCGGGCCCCTCCTCCTGGTGTGACTCGTTCGGGCTCCTCGTGGTGTGAGTCGTTCGGGGCCCTCCTCGTGGTGTGAGTCGTTTTGGGAGCCTCTTGGAGGCCTTTTGGGGCGTCTTCGGGGCCTCTTGGCGGCCCCAGGGGCTTCTAGGAGCGTCTGGGGTGCCTTGGGGGAGCCTCTTGGGGCCTCATGGGAGCCTCTTGGAGGCGGTTTGGGGCGTCTTGGGGGCCTCTCGGCGGCTCCAGGGGCTTCCACGAGCGCCTCTTGGGGCCATCTTGGGGCCTCTTGGTGCCTCCTGGGCGCTTCTTGGGGCCATCTTGGAGGGAATGGATCAAAGAAGAGGGGAGCTTTAATGAGTGCTGCCCCCTCAGAAGGGCAAAATGAGCCCAAAACCTTTTTCTGTAAAATCAATGATTTTGCCTTGAAGGAAGAGGGAAGCTTTCACGAGCGCTGCCCCCTCAAAAAGGCCAAAAATGGGGCCAAAACCGTAGTAAAATCAATGTTTTTGGCTTCAAAGGAGAGGAGAGGGTTTTTTCTCCCTCCCCCCGTCGGGGCCAGAATCCTCGTGAGGGGTGTCGTTTTTTAGCCCTCCCAGGAGTCGAAAAAGACCCCTCCAACGACCTGCGAGGCGCCCTTTCCAGGCCCAGGGGAGGGGGTAGGGGGAGGGGTAAACCCCTCCCCGAAGGGGAAGAAGGGGGGTTGAGAACAGAGCGGGCTCTCTAAACCACTCACGCCCAAAGGGCTGGTGGGATTATCATCATCAGCAGCATCATCATCACCATCATCATCATCAGCATCATCATCATCATCATCATCATCATCATCATCATCATCATCATCCTCACCATGGTTATCGCCAAATTCCTCCTCGCCCTGGCTTCACCCTGAGGATCCGATTCATGCCCGCTGGTCCTCAGCCGCGCCCGCGCCGAGGGCCCCTGCACGGCCGGTGTGCGCTGTCGTGCGAGCCCCCGCTGCTGTTCGGGGCGGCGGAGCGGCGGGGCGGGCCAGGCTCCGCCTCACTGGCGGCGGGCATGTCCGCATCCACGCCCTCGCGGTCCGGATTCTGATAGGAGGGCCAGTCGAGACAGGGGTAGTCGGGCTTCGCGGGGCCCCCTGCATCGCCAGTGCTTGACACAGCCCGGGAACCTGGTGCGTCTGGACCCCTGGGAGGGTCCGAGGTCCGATTTTCAGCCGCCTGTGTCCCAGTTCGCACTCCTGCGAGATTCGCACTCGACCTCGTGGTCTGGATCCCCAGACCCCCCGCGTCGGCAAAAAATCACGACGGGGCCGGGGACCAGAACGAAAACGGTCAGGGACGAAAGCGCTGTCCTTGGGAAATGGTCCAGCGGCTCACGGATTCCGTGATGAAGCAAATCAAGATATCGTAGGTTTGGGTTCCCACTCGTCTGCTCGCACGTTCTGTTCGGTCGGCCCCTCGGGCCCCTCGCGTGGCGCGCTTCTTGCCTCGCGCCCCCACAGCTCGCTCGCGGGTCCCCCTCTCTGCTGTCTGTCCCTCGCCTCTTGGGCCTGGGTCTACGGACCCGGGCCGATCCGTGTCCCATGCACTGCGGACGCTGAAATACTGCCCCTTTGGGCTTCGGAGGGGCTGTGGGATTCGGGCCGCTCCTTCGATCTGGGGTGGGGGAGCCGTTCCTTGGCCGTGGCTCGCCGTGGCCAGGAAAGTCATTTCGTTCCTGCTTCAGCGATCCTTGTGCGCTAGCGCGGCGGCTGCCTTCTCATGAGCGGCGAACGTATCCGTATCCGCGCCCTCGCGCCGCGAGGGCGCGGATATCGATACGCGCTTCGTTCGCGCACCCACATGTTCACCCCTCCGCGCACCCGCCCCCGCACCGTACTAGTCCCTGGGAGTTCCACGTTAAAGTTGACCATACGACCTCGCGGCCTGGATCCTGGGCGCGCACCCGTGTATACGCGTTCGCAGAGATGCGTTCCGCGCGGGGCGCCCGCGAAGGAACGCCCCGCATCCACGGGGTCGTGGCCCAGGGGGGGCCCAGCCGCGAGGCCGTGGATGTGGATATTCTTCCCGCCCGCGATGCTATGTGTTCCTCCTTCCTTTCTTCGGGGGAGGGCTCATCCCAGACAACAGCGGCTCCACCACCGACCCCAAATCCGCTGAACCTCAGTCCTGGGACCCCTCCCAGCTCCCAGGGTCTTTGCTGACCCGTTTTTCGAGGCGGACCCAGCCGTGGCGACGAGAAGCTCTCAGGAGGTTCAAGCAAGGACGAGCAACGCCGAGAGGAAGAGCTCTTCGGTAATCCAAGACATCCGCGCGGACCCCCGAGCGTTCATGTCTGTGTGTGCTGATGCTTCTCCATCCGATGAGAGGAGAAGGCTGAGGAGCCAGAGACGCGACGGCAGAGCACGAGGGAGGCGAGGTAGGCGTAGTCAGTCCGGAGGTGGATCACTCAGATATCAGGGCAGCAGAGCGCGCAAGGGCCATGAGGGAGGACGAGAGCAAAAGGGAGGAAGCCGAACACGGAGAATCCGCAGTAGGGCCAGTGGAGACAACGGCGGCCCTCTGTAACGTTATTCGTTTTTGTTTGGCCTCCAAGAGGCTTCTCGTTGCCACTGCTTGATCCTCCGAGGAAAACGGGTCAGCACGGACCGTAAAAGCGGTCCAGGGATTTATTAGTCGGACGGATTTGGGCCTGGTTGGCGGAAGAGTCGCCCCTGATGACAGAGAGACGGATGCGGAGAGTGAAGGATATTGAGGAGGAAGCAGGAGCGGGAGGGGATTGGGAGGAAGAGGAGGGATGTGGGAGGAAGTGGACGGGAGGAAGAGGACAAGGAGGAAGGGGAGAGGGGAGGTAGAGGAGGAATAAGAGGAAGAGAGGAAAAGAAAGAGGAAGAAAAGTGGATGGCGGGAGGGGGAGTGGGAGGAAGAGGGGGGGATGGATCCAGGCCTCCCAGTGCGATGTGGAGCACGAGTTTCTCCACGCCCACGTCGCCGATGCCTCGCCGACGTCGCCGATGTATCGATTATGCATCGATTATGCATCGACGATGCGGCGCGATCCTTATACCCCATCCACTAGACTCACCAGACCCCGTTTCGACGATGGAGGAGGAGGGGATTATGTAAATGGGGAGGAGAGCGAAGAGGGTGAGAGGAGCAGTAGCATGATGGTCGAGACCCCCTGAAGCGCCAGACTCGGACGGAAAGCGGACCAGATCAGGCCAGTCGCCGCGGTCAGTCGCCGCCTTGGAGGCCAGCGCCCACCCAACGGATCCCCGCGGCCCTCCGGACTCGTCCAATCAGGACGCCTTATAGGTCCTCTCATGGCTGCTCCTGCGCTCCTCCGGCACCCAGACGCCGCTGGGGCCGTGCAGGCGCTGCTCCACACCCGTGCTTCCCCAGCGCGCGCATGGCGCCCGGCCGGCGCGCGCAGACCTCCTGAGCCCCCGTGACCGCACGGGTGGAATCCGGCCGAGGCCTCAGTCGGGGGGCGGGCAGAGCCCCCCAGCCTGACACGTCGATCGGTGGGCTGTCCGTTTTTTCGGTTCTCGAGGGGGCGCCTCGGCCGTCGTTTTCCGGGCTTGCGCCCGCCAGGTGTGGGCCCGAGGTCGTTTTCTTTAAGCCACGATTTGCTAAAGGGCGTTCTGTCCACAGGTACAGCTTGGGCATTTCTCTGCTGGTGATGGGCCAGGTGTGAGGAGCAAGAAATGATTACTTGTGGTCGAAATTACGGCATGTTCGTGTCGTGTCGGACCGGCGGCGACCCCGCCAGCGGCGTTCAATTTTGAACGCCGCGGGCGACCTTGAATCGTTCGATGTGGAACGATTTGGACGTTGGAAATGGCCGATCGTTCAAGGTTGAACGATCCCCGCGGTGGCAGAAACCAACGCCGAAGTCGGCACGACACCAACCTGACGTAGCTTGACTGTATGCTGGTGTGCCGACTCAGTGCCGACTCTTCCTTCTCTCCACCCAACGGTGCCCGCCAGGCCAGCCCCTGCTGGTCCGCGGGGCGTTCCTGGGCGGCGCCGCGGAGTTCGTCCCAGGGAGACCTCGGGGGCAGACGCGACGGGCAGTGCACGGATGACAGGGAACCCGTGGTTCACTCCTCGTTCCGAGCGGGGCCGATTTGTTCTGTATATTTAGAGCGGCATAACGGGCCTACGTGGAGCGTGGGATGGCCCTCCTGCCTCCTCGGGGCCCATCAGCTGGCCCCTGAGAGAGCGTGCTCCTTGAGGGCCACAGCATGACGATCCGTCAGTAAGTTGAGACCGACGGAGGTGGTGGGTCACGAGGGAGCCGGGTCCTGCCTTCACGCCGCGAGCGACGGCAGAGCTTTCAGGGAGAACCTAGACGTCACCTGGGATTTAGCACGACGCGAACATCAACCGGGGCACATGCACGTCACAGCCACAAATACCTCGGTCTCGAAACACAGAAACCAGCCCTGCCACTTTCACCGAAGCGCACACTTGACGATGTTGTCGTGCCAATAGTGCGCAGGGGCCACCAACTAATCTTTTTGTGATCCTCGGCCACCCAGACAAAGGCACGTATGGTTGTGGGGCAGGGACACGGACCGATTCCACACGAGTCCCCAGCTGCAGTGGCTTGGGGGCGCTTTCCCTGCTGCTCAAGGCGACAGGTCGGCTCGCGGAACATTGAATCCCCGACGGGTCAATCGACCCGTAGTAAGCCGCCCCCGCGCACGAGCTTCGTAGGATCGCCGCTTGGCACATCAACAGCCGCCTGGAAACTGTGTATGGCACAGCACTGTTTAACAACAGACGCATTCTGCACTGGATCCGCTGATGAGCCTGACGCCTTCTGCACTGGATCCGTCTTCTGCCCGTAACTGGCTCCGAGTTGTACTTGAAGGGAACGTAGGGCCCTTCAATGGAACACAAGCCACGACACCCGCCACATGCGGCTCAGACACCCACGCGCGTTTACCAGACGAGTCGCCGCTTTGCCCCCCCCCAGGATCTGCAACTGACACTGACGCCCCAGCTGGAGCCCGGCTGACACAGACGCCCCAGCAGACACTCCTACGGAGGAAAGAGCCGGAGCCCCAACCGCCTCCGCGGCGTAATGATCCCGGTGAGGGTGTGCACTCCCGCCCCCCACAATTTTGATGGCTCAGAGGATGGCCAACCCGAGCACAGTCAAGAGATCACAAACTCCGCAGTACTCAACCATATTACCTTTCCAACGGCAGATCGCGCGTGAGCGCGCCATCTTCTCCTCGCTGTGTGCTACGCCGGCGGCCCGCGTAAGCCGCAGCGTGAAGTCATGATGTCGTCTAGCGTAAGACCCGCTTATTTTCGTCGTGACATCATGGTACATCGTAATTGCATCCTCTCGCCCCCCACGTCCTCCATGTTGCGTCTTCCCCCGCCCTCATTGCCCCTCCCCTCCAGCTCTCCCGCTCCTCCTCCTCCGCTTCGTTCCTGCCTCCAGCTCCTCTTCCTGCTCCCCCTCCTCCTGATGCTGCTGCTCCCCCGCTGCTCCCCCCACTCCTGTTAGTTCCTCTTCCCGAACCCCTTTGGCCGTCCTCGACGGCCGATGCCGCCGCCGTAGCCGTTGTCGCTGCTGCCGTCGCCGTCGCCATCGTTTCCGTTGCCGTCGTCGTCGTCGTCGTCGTCGTCGTCGTCGTCGTCGTCGTCGTCGTTCAGGCCAGTCCTGCAGGGCAGAAGGAAAGGTAGCGAACATTGGGTACTGCAAGCCTTTCAACCCTCCTCTCATCGCCGCTGCCGTTGTCGCCACGCGGCGTCGCCTTCGTCGCGGCGGGCTGGCGGCTGCACCCCCCCGCCAGCCGTCGCCGCCGCTGCTGCTGCCGTACCCACGGCAAGCTCAGCAGGAGCCCGCCCCGGGGGCAGCCGGCGGCCTGCCAGGCGCGCCCGCGCTGGGCCGCCGCTGCCGCCGTGGGTCGCCGCGGCCGCCGCGACGCGGCGGGCTTGGTCTCGGTCACCGCCGCCGCCGCCGTCGCCGTTGCCACCCGCTGCCAGCCGCCAGTCGCCGGCGCGGCTGCCTCCGCGGCCGTCGTCGCCGTCGCCGCTGCTCGCCAACGCTGCTCGCCGGCGCGGCCGTCGCCTCGGCAGGTGGTCGCCGCCATGAAGGGAAGGGGTTTTGGAGCCTGTTTGCCGTTACTGGGCTTTCACAGAAGAGCCGTCCGCCGAAATGTCTGCCAAAAGCATAATCATTGCCGCAATGCCGCCGTTCGTCACTGGTGTGGTGCAGCGTTGGGTGGGACATGGCGCCCGCTCGTTCGAGACACCCCGTGAGTCCATGCGGCTGTCGTAGGCCACTTCTGATCGTCACCCTGCAGAATCTGCCGAGGCCGTAATTACAATCTTGCCGTATCAAACCGCCTCTCTTCGAAGTTTGGCCCCCCCACCTAGCTCCGGGACTGTCCGACAATGACTGAGAGTGACAGCCTGGTCTTGAGGTAGGCCCCTGCAGTCCAGGAGCCGTTTCCCTCGGCCACCCGCTCTTGCCATGGTAGTCTACCGTCGCAGTCGCCGTCGCCGCCGCCGTTGCAGTCGTCGTCGCTGGCCCGGGTCGGGGTTCGACCTTGAGGTTCGGGGCCCAGGCCCATCACGGCTGGCCCGTTTCGGGGGTGCCGTCGCCGACCCAAAGCCATGGGTCGGCTTGGAGGCTCGGAGGCCCAGATCTCCAGGTATCGTAGATGACCGGAGGTCCGGGCCCCGAGCCGCATACGTCTGCTTCTAAGACTCTGCACGCGTCGTCGCGCTTCCACGTTGCAGCTCCCTGCTGCGCTGAGCGCGCGCCGCACCGTTGCCCTTCCTCTGCGGCCGCGCGGGAGTGGTCCCCGACCGAGGTCACAACGGCCCGACGAGCGGCGGACGAGACTGAAGAGGATGGTGTCGGTCCGCCATGTCAGGCATGGGCGTCAGTGCCTGTCTTGGGGTGGCTGCCTTGGTGGCGAGCCGAACCTGACCTTCCCGGTTCCTCCTGCGCCCGGTTTGCGATTCCGCTCCCCAGTCTGCCGCCCCGACCGCGCGGTCCGTTCGCCTGCGCTGCCGCACAAGGAGAGCTCCAGCGTGGAAGACATCACGCCGGCCAGCTGCTCCGAGCCGGCCCCCGCGCGGCTCAGGGCGGGGGGGGCGAGCCCGTGGGTCGTGGGGACGCGGCAGCGGGAGAGCTTTGGTGGGGCCCACGCCGTGCGACAACCACGGGTTGCGTCCGGATCCCGTGGAGCGACCATGGCGCCTGGCTGCGCATGCCACGAGGCAGGGTGCAATTTGCTTTCGGGGGGGGGGGGGCTCGTCGCCACGGGTGGACGAAGCTCGGGAAGCAGGTGCGTTGCGACACCGGGAGGGGTCCTGGGCCCGATTTTGAGTTGTTGTTGTCTCACCTCGCCCTGCTCCGAAAGTGTGCGCCGCGTCGATGCGGTAGCGACGGTCGTCGGAGAAGCGCAGACATGGATCAAGGCGCATTTTTGCTTCGTTTGCTCGTGTAGCTGAGCAGGCCCTAAGGCAGAGTCCCAATACGCAACCATTGGGGCGAGCAGCGAAAATACAGAGCATTAACATTCGCTTTAACTATTTGTTGTGTGCGTGTCCCAGATGCAGGATGCGTACCGGGGGCATCATACTCTCGTCATCCGCAGCCCGCCCTCCCCGCGCGTGGCAGGGGCATCGGGTTAGCACACGTTCGCTCCGATCCAGCTAGGCTTATCAAGTGTGGCCGGGGGTTACGAATTTTCACCTCTTCGAGTCCTCTAGGTGTAGAGCAGTCGCGCAGGCTTCTCATCTGACGAGTCTGTCCAGGTCCGCAGCTTGTGGCAGGACTGTGTCTAGGCTTTTCTTCGTTTTGTGGCACAAGTATCGGGTCCTGACAAATCAAGAGGAACGGTGATGACAAGGATCCAGACGAACAATAGTCTGGAGTGAGAAGGATGAGAGTATAGGAGGAGGGGTGAGCGGGGAGATTGGAGCGGGGAGGGGGAGGACGAGACTTGGGAGGAACAGGTGGAAGTCGAGTAGGCTTTGGAGGACGGGAGGGGGAGGATGATACGAAATCAGGGGGAGGAGGAGGAGGAGGAGGAGGAGGAGGAGGAGGAGGAGGAGGAGGAGGAGGAGGAGGAGGGAGAGGTCCACAGGGAGGAAACCGATGGGAAGAGGATGTCTGGAGGCCGAGGAGGCCAGGAGGAGGACGACACCAAATCGGGAAGTGCAGGAGGAGGAGCAGGATGAGGAGGAGGGAAGGGTGCTCGTCAAGATGGAAATCATGATCGACATCGGGGACTGGGACATCTCGCCAAGTCGTCAACATCGCATGCGCGGGGAGGCGCGGGAAGCGAAAGGCTCATAATCTGCGGGATGGGGGAGGAGAAGCCCCCTTTGCCGCGGTTCCTTGAGCCATAGTGTGGCGGCACCTTAGTCTCCTCACGCAGAGGGAGGAGAGCGATGGGAAGGAGGAGGTCAGCAGGGCACCAGAACGACACGACGACGACGACGGCGGCGACGACGACGACAGCGACGACGACCGTAAAGGCGACCAAGACGGCGACGGATTCCGACCACGACGACGGCGACCACGACGACGAGGACGACGACGGCGGCCGCGACGACCGTCACGACCGCGACGACAAGGACGACCACGAGCGGCGCCCATGAGGTGTGGGTGCACACGTCGCTGCCCCCGCGCGGCGGGTCGCTTCCCCGCAGGCGCCGCGCACGGAGAATTGCGGGGGGCCGCCTGCTGTACGCGCGCGCGCGCGCCGACCCCTGCCGCTGCCAGTGTCCCGCAGATTTTTGCATCAGCGAGTCTGGAATCCACCGAACATCTAGCGGACCACTTATTTTCTGGCGCTGGCTAGTAGAAATGGGTTACAACCCGCAGACGACGGGAATGGCGCTGGGTGACGGAACTGGAAGGCTTTGATGCGGGTCCGCGCTGCTGCGACGGGCGTGCCTGGTCGGATGCGATGGTTCGGCGACATGTGTTCGACATTGCGAGGTACTCATACATGTGGGATCTAGGAAACGCCTGATTGCGATGACGAGCTGTGGAGGGATATGGAATCTTCGTGCGTTCGTAAGTCCAACCGAGACGCCCCAGCGCACCTTCAGTTCCCCACACGGGACGCAGTCTGGGTGGCATCGGCGCCGCTCCGCCACTCCGCCCTTCCGTCATCCCTCCTCCCCCATCCCGCTCCCCCTTCCGTCCACGAGCGTCGAGCCCCCTTCTGTCTCACCCCCCCCCCGCTCCTCCACGCACCCATTCGTCGACGCGGGGATTTGTCCATAACCACCGCCTGGGGGATAGGTCGTCGAGGACCTCGGCAGGCGGCGGATGTGGATACATTCAGGCCCATGGGGGTCAACTACATCAATGTCCACCGCCCCCTGGGGTCCAAGGACAATGGTTCCCCAGGCGGTGGATGCGAATATCTCCTAGCCGCACCCCTTCCCACCCCCGCTTCCCTCCATCAGCTCCCCCCCCATTCCGCCGCGCTCCCCCCATGCGGCGGCGGCGAGCACGGCGGCGGTGGAGGCGACGACGAAGCCACCGCGTGACCCGACGACGAGGTCCAAACACCATGGGCGACGGCGACGAACACGGCGGCGGCGACGACGACGAACATTGCCCCGCGCCCCGACGACGCCCGAGCCCGCGGAGGCCCGCGCACGGCGCGGCGGCGGCGGCGCCTTCGCGGCCGCCGCCCCCGGCAGTGCTCCGCGGGGAGCTCGACGCGCGGGGCCCGCGCGGCCCGCTGCTGCGGCTGGGAGGCACGAGCGGCGGCCGCCGGTGGCGGCGGCCGCCGGTGGCGGCCGTCGGCGACGTCGGTCGACGGAGGAGGAGCGAGGAGCGAGGAGGAGCGAGGAGGAGCGAGGAGGAGGAGGAGGAGGAGGAGGAGGAGGAGCGACGGAGGAGCGACGGAGGAGCGACGGAGGAGCGACGGAGGAGGAGCGAGGAGGAGGAGGAGGAGGAGGAGGAGGAGGAGCGAGGAGGAATGAGGAGGAGGAATGAGGAGGAGCGAGGAGCGAAAGGCAGCAAACAGGAGGAGGGAGGAGGGAGAGGGAGAAGGAGAAGGGTGGCGGAGAGGAAGGAAGATGGGGAGAAGGGGTACAGACAGCACGTCAAGTGAAACTGCTCATCTGGTTCGGGAAGGGGGTCGTTTTGCGCTGATCATGGGGTCAATGTCAGGGAAATTGGTTTGCTCAAGATTCATGTTGGCCATACAAGCTTAAACCATCCCGCCGATCCCGAGAAGACGGGATGTGCGGCTTCCGATGTCCATAGTTTTGTTGTGCCGTGTTTTTTTGTTCATCGTGCCTTGCGCGCAGTTATTGATGCTAATGCGGCTTCCTGTTTTTCTGCTTCCTTGGCGGGGCTTCTTGGGTGCAGCGGCCTCTTGGGAGCATTATCCTGGTCCTGGGCTCCTGGGTTTTGGGGGGCCGTCTGAAGGCTTCTTGGTACACCTCGGGGGCATATTGGGCGTCGTGGGTGCCACCTTGGTGGGGGAGAGCCCCCCGGGCCCATGCGAGTTCCCCCTCCTGGGGCCCTCTCGAGGGTGCTTTCCGCCGTCTCGGGGGCATTTTGGTCAGTCCTCTGTTGCCCTCTTTCAGGCCCTCTTGGTCGCCTCTGCGACCGTCTTCGGCCAGACTCGCGGTCTTCTCGGGCCGTCTCGGGCGTTCAGGAAAGATCAGAGTGTGAAAACCATCCCCAGACAAACATCATGCACTTGTGCCTCGTGAGGCCGTCTTGGGGGTCCTATTGGAGCCCTCTTTTGTTGTCTTTGGGGCCTCCCGGGCCGTCTTAACACCATCTTGGATGCTCTCGAGGCCTCTCCTGCGCGTTGAAGCCTTTTTGTTAGCCACCTCAGAGGGCGTTGTGGACATCTTTGAGGCCACGGCGGGTGGGTTTGAAGCTTTTAAAAGCCCCAGAGTTGCATTTGGCAACGAGTCGAGTGTGGAAGAGTTGACTGTATGTTCAGGAGTCTGTTGAGCAGGTCCAGAAGGTTGGAGCGTGGGAATTGGGATGAGGGAGGATCGGGAAGAGAAATCAGAGGGGGAGGAGGTTAGGGAGGTTGGGGCGGACGAGAATGAGGACAGGGAAACGCTCTAGACCATCTGGTGCGTCTCTGTTCTGGCGCGGATCAACCGCGCAGACATCAGCTGCGCCAGAATGGATATTTACTCACGGGTGATTTGGGAGCCCGCCGATAGTTATGACTTTGTGGTTCCTTTCGGGCATTGCAGCGTTGCCAGGTCACTGGCCAACGTACCCGGTAGTGGAGTACCCGGCACGGCGGCGTTGAGGACGATTTCGCACGTTGTGCCTCAGGCGCCGGCTCAAACATGGTGTCCCAAGCGGTTGCGATCGTTCATCGTTATCGTCGTTGGCCTCCTCATCTTCGTTGCTGCCGGCGTCTTTCTCATCGCCGGCGGAGGTTCCGCAGAGCTGCGCATGCCCCCCCACCCTGCGGCCCCCGCGCTGCCACTAACGGCTGCCGACGGCGCTGCGGAGGAGCTTGACCGGGCGCTGCGCAGGCACCCCTCCCTCCTCCTCCTCTTCCATTTCCACCAAGTCCCCATCCTGCCATCACCCTGCCATCCCCTTCTCTCCCCGCCTCCCTCCCTCCATCCTTCTCCCTGCCCTCTCTCTTCGTCCCCGTCGTCCCTCTCCCTTGCCGTCCAACTCCCTAACTCCCGTCCTTGGTCCCTCTCCGCCCTCTGGAGCCAGAGCGGGAGCAGGAAAGAGGATGAGGGGGAAGAGGAACAGGAGGCGGAGCTGGAGGTGGAGAAGTAGAAGATCAGGGTTGTGGCGTCAGGGTGCGAGAAGGGTGTGGGATGGTATGGCCACGGAGGTGGAGGGAAACGATGGCAGGAGGGGGACAGGGAATGGAGGCAGAACATGGGCAACGGAAATGGCATAGAAGTGATGTGGCCGACGAGGAGGAGTGGTTCGAGGAGGAGTTCGAGAGCAGGAGGAGGAGGAGGAGGAGGAGCTTGCATAGGACCCCCGCGGCCCATCAACACACTCAGCTCTGGGCAGGGAGAATCAGGGTGTTCAGTGTCGGAGTGCGCAGGCTATTTGGCACCCGTGCCGTCTGTTGCTTGTTTTCAGTTATTGGTGTTGCAATTGTCTCCACCTAGTTATGTTTCTGTTGCATTGTTGCTTGCACCCTGTATCCCGGGGTTGGGTGGCAGTGGGTGGAGGAAGAGAGATCGCGGAACACATTACAGGTCAGTATTATAATGTACTACTACGACTACTACTGCTACTACTACTACGACTACTACTACTACGACGACTACTACTACTACTACGATTGCTGCTACTACTAGTTACTACCATTATCACTACTACTACCACGACTACTACCACTACTACTACCACTACTAGTACCACTACCACTACTATTTCACCTACCTCTGCGACTGCTACTGCTACTAACACTAGTAGCTCTGTTACTACTACTCCTGTTACTACGACTCTTATTATTACTACTACTAATGCGACTACCACTACTACTACTACTACTACTACTACTACTACTACTACTACTACTACTATTGCGACAAGTCGTTATACTATTGCTCTGGTTATTGGAATTACTCCTACTGCTACGATTACTACTTCTGTCATCAGTGTTACTACTACTACAACGACTACTACTGCACCTACTACTACGACTACTACTACTACTACTACCACGATTACCACGATTACTACTAGTACCAGTGCGATTCTTATTGCCACTACACTTCTTCAACTTGTACTACTACTACTACTACTACTACTACTACGACTACTCCTACGACTACTACAACTACTACAACAATTACTACTACTACTACTACTACTACTACTACTACGTCTACTACTACTACTACTACTACTACTACGACTACTACTGCTACCACTCACAAATATGTTATTGTGACGTTCAGTGCTATTACTACTAGTACCACTACTCGCATTGTTCCTGCAACTACTACTACGACTACTAGTATTACTACTGCTACTACTACGCCTACTACTACTTCTACTTTTACTACTACTACTACTACTACGGCTAGTAGGGGTACTACTACCACTATCACTACTACGGCGACTATTACGGCGACGACTACTACTTGCATTACTACCACGACTACTACTACTACTACTACTACCACTACTACTACTACTACTACTACTACTAACGGCTGCTCTTTCTATATGTAGCAGTGGCGGCCGTAGAGATAGCAGAAGCATGGACTAATAGTCGTAGTAATAGTAGCAGAAGTAGCAGTCGTCGCCGTAGCATTAGTAGCCTGTAGTAGCAGTAGCCGTTGTAGTAGTAGTAGCATTAGTAGTATTAGTAGTAGTAGTAGTAGTAGTTGTTGTTGTTGTCGTAGTAGTAGTAGTAGTTGTTGTAGTCGTAGGAGTAGTAGTAGTAGTTGTAGTAGTGGTAGTGGTAGTGGTATCACTGGTATGCAGTCGTACTAGTACTAGTAGTAGTAGTTGCCGTAATAGTATCAGCAGTAGTAGTAGTACATCTATGAGTGTGCTCAGTACTACGATCATTCATTGCATCACTGCCACTGCTAGTAGTAGTAGTCGTAGTTCGGCTATTACTACTACTCGTATTACGACGACTCGTAGTATGATTACTACTACGACTACGACTACTTCTACGAGTACGACTACGACGACGACTACGACTACTACTACTAGTACTACTAGTACTAACTACTGCGACTACGGCGACTACTATTTCTACGACCACTAGAACTCCTCACTAGGGCCTGCCAGTTGTATCTCGATTGCACTGCTACTACTGGATCCACTACTATAGCGCCTACGGCCATCATTATTACCTTTTAGTGGTAATGCACACGATTACTATTGCTATCACCCCGTGTGGCCCTCCGACTGGTGCCGCTACTAGTATTACTTCCAGCGTTAGCTTTGTTATTGCGATTTCTGTTTGTTCTAATGCCACGAGTTCCCATATTGCTATTGCGACGTATAGTACTCTTTTAGTATTGCTGGAAAGCCGATTACTGCCGTTACTGAGAGTAGTATGGCGAATGCCAATTTGTTCTTCCACTATGTACTACTACCACTACTACTACAACTACTACCACTACTACTACTACTACGACTACTACTACGACTACTACTACTACTTCTACTTCTACTTCTATTAATGATACTACTACTACTACTACTACTTCTACTACTACTACTGCTACTACTACTACTACTACTTTTACTACTACTACTACTACTACTACTACTACTACCACAATACTACTACCACACTACTACTACTACTACTACTACTACTACCACCACTACTACTACTACTACTACTACTACTACTGCTACTACTATTACTACTGCTTTTACTACTACTACAACTACTACTACTACTACTACTGCTACTGCTACTACTACTACGACTACTGCTTCTACTACCACTAGTAGTAGTAGTAGTAGTACTACTACTACTACTACCACTGCTTCTATTACTACCACTACTACTACTACTACTACTACCACTACTACTACTAATAATAATAATACTACTACTACTATTATTATTACTACTACTTCTACTACTACACCACTACGGCTACTACGACTACGGCTAATACGACGACGAGTACCACTTCTACGACTTTTACGGGGACGACCACTCTTATTTAATCGCTTCGCTCGTTCCGCCAGCCCATACAGTCTCATGTCTGCCGTTTGCCCGAGGGCCTGGTGTCAATGCGGCGCTTTGGGGGTTCTTTTGCCAGGCGTCTCGGGAACCTCTTGGAGGCAGTGTTGAAGCCTCTTGAGGCCCCGTAAAGGCCGTTTGGGGGTCGTTGGGGCTTCTTGTTGGGTTTCTTGGGTGGTTCTTGGGGCGTCTTGGGGGACTTATTGGCGGGATGTTGGTGGCTTCTGAGGTGCTCCTAGGGGCAGAATCCCGCTTTGGGCGGCTCTTGGGCGGTCTTGGTGCTCTCTTGTGCCGTCTTGGGGTTATCTTGGGCCGTCTTGGGCCTATTTTGGCGGATTGTTGGGCTGTCTCGGGGCGATGTTGGGGGCTATTTGTGTAGTCTGAGGCGCTGTGAAACTCGAAACGCCGTTCATGCGGGAAGTGTACATGTTCCTCTGGGAATGGGACGATTTTTGATTGTAATTGCCGTCTTGGAGGGCCTCTCTTGAGGCTCTCTTGGGGCTTCTTGGCGGCTTCGACGGCAATTTTGAGGTCATATTGGGCGATTTTGAACGATTGTTCGGCGACTTGAAGCCGCTTGGATTGTTTCGGGGGCGTTCCGATGCCGTTTTGGCGCGCTCCTGGAGCGTTCTGGGGGCATGAGCCGAACGTCGCGCTCTGGGCGGCGTGCGAAAGCCATTGTGTGAGAGGGCGCGGTGGTGAGAAGAACAGCTCACCCCACCCGGCTTTCCGGGCTTTCCGGCGTAAGGAGGGCTTCTTCGCGGCACTTGTGAACGCTCCTGGACAGTGCTTTTTGGGCAGGTTCTTGACGCTTGTTGCAAGTCTGTAGGGGCCCCGTTGGGAGTTTACCGAAAGGAGAGCACATTGTAGCATCGCTTGCACTGGCTTGCGTGCTCGGGGGGGCATTTGGGGGGCCTCCTGGGGCCGCTTGGGGGACTCTTTGGGGGCCTCCTGAGGGCCTCGTGGGGGCCTTTTGGGGCCTCTTAGGGGCCTCTTGGGGCCTCGTGGGGGCTTCTTAGGGCCGAGGGCTCGAAATGTTGTTTCGTGTTCCCTCTCTGGGGCCCCTTTGGGGGCGTTCTTGGGGCCCTTTTGGACCGTCTTGGAGGCTTCTTGGGCCGTCTTCGAGCCCTCTTGGGCCATCTTGGGGCCCTCTTGGGGGCCTCTTGGGCCCTCTTGGGGCGATCTTGGGGGCCTCTTGGGCCGTCTTGGGGCGTCGGGAAGCCGAAAAGGTGGAAGCTCCAACATCTTTCAAAAACCTGGGGAAAAGCAATGAATTTTGCCTCCTGGGGCCCTCTTGGGAGTGCTCTTGGAGGCCTCTTGGGGCGTCTGGGGGCTATCTTGGGCGTCTTGGAGCGATCTTGTGGCATGTCGGACCCCTCGTGTACCATCTTGGGGGCCTCTTGGGGGCCTCTTGGCCTTTCTTGGGGCTCTCGGGGGCGTCTCGGAGCCCTGTTGGTGCGCTCATGGAGCGCTCTGGCGGAGTCGCCCGGGGATCAGCCCGGACTCGCCCGGGGTACTTCTCGTCCAGGGACCCCCAAGGGCCGCCCCGCGCGCGTGAACTAGAGAATTGTTAACCAGTTACCAGAGATCTTAGCACGCCTCTGGCCCGTTGGGCCGGCGAATTAGTAGTACTCCTCCTCCTCCTCCTCCTACTACTACTACTACTACTACTACGACTACCACTACTACTACTACTACTACTACTACCACTTCTACTTCTACTTCTACTTCTACTTCTACTTCTACTACCACTACTACTACTACTACTACTACTACTACTACTACTACTACTACTACTACTACTACTACTACTACTACTACTACTACTACTACTACTACTACTACTACTACTACTACTACTACTACTACTACTACTACTACTACTACTACTACTACTACTACTACTACTACTACTACTACTACTACTACTACTACTACTACTACTACTACTACTACTACTACTACTACTACTACTACTACTACTACTACTACTACTACTACTACTACTACTACTACTACTACTACTACTACTACTACTACTACTACTACTACTACTACTACTACTACTACGACTACTACTACTACTACTACTACTACTACTACTACTACTACTACTACTACTACTACTACTACTACTACTACTACTACTACTACTACTACTACTACTACTACTACTACTACTACTACTACCTACTACTACTACCTACTACCTACTACTACTACTACTACCTACTACCTACTACTACTACTACTACTACCTACTACCTACTACCTACTACCTACTACCTACTACCTACTACTACTACTACTACTACTACTACTACTACTACTGCTACTGCTGCTGCTGTTGCTGCTGCCACTACTCCTACTACTACTACGCGTCATGCGACCTAGCTTTGCTTAATCCTAGGTGTGTTCGATTTTGCCCAGCTCAGCGGCCTGTCCATCAGGCTTCATACCATTGGATCATGATTGCGAATACCTCGTAGGGGTCGTTCCCTGGCCGATCAACTGGTTGTCGACGCCTCGGGCGACCGACTTCGGGCGGGACCAGGATCGGGATAAACATTCCCAGAGCGCTCCGGAGCGCTCTCAGGGCGTTCTGGAGAGCCTCTGAACGGCCGCTGCTTTCGATACGCCCTTGGGAACCACTGGCCCGCTCTCAGAGGTCCCCGATTCATCCCCTTGCGGTTGCATCCTCATCCTCGTCCTCATCTGGCCATCGTCTTAAGATCTTCGCTGGCCATGCCCGGGAAACCGATAACCCGCCGTGGTCAGCGCCTCAGGTATCGCGCACTCGCCCCGCGCTGAGGGCGCGGTGGCGGCCCGCGGCACCCCGAATAAGAGCGGAGTGCAGAAGAGCAAGAAGGAGAAAAGCAACACGCCCCGCAGCGCGCGCGCATCCCTTGCGAGAGTTGGCAAGCCTTGGCGATCCGGGCGCTGCATTTCTGTCACGCTGGACGTCTTCGCCTCGGCTTCGGCCCCAGGAGCATCACATATTGGTGAGACTCGACAGACGCCGCAGATATCTGTGGCCGATCAGGCATGCCCAGGATGGGGATAATTCGTTCCAGAGCGTTCCGGAACGCTCTCAGAGCTCCCGCCGTGATTTTCCTGGTGTTGAGGAAAGGTGCCCTCGACCGGTGTGCCTTCCAGGCCCTGCTGGCCCCTTGAGTTTGTGAGCCCGAGGGTCTTTTCGTGGCCACTTGCGGCGCGCAAGGCCAGAGAAGCGGCACTTGAAAGACAGATTGTTCAAGGAGCGAGTGCGGCAGACCACGCGCTCAAAGGCTTCCCCAAGCGGTCCCAACGACTTCCAATAGCACCCACGTAGCCTTCAGACAAGGGACTCCGATGCACCGCCATGAGCGCACATTTGTGATATGCTCGGCAGGTGCCCCAGTGTGATTGCTTTCGCGCTCGCCTCATGGTATCATAGGCTCATGGTAACACAGTCTAGCTATGAAGGGCGCGCCGTCATTGCTAATTAATCGCATCCGTTACTCTTGGCCATAGGTCATACGCTCCACCGTGTACTGCGCAAGCCTCGCCTCCAACACACGACCCAATGCATCCCTTAGTTTTTGCCTCGGTTCTTACGCTCTACTGCGTATTGCGCAACACCCGTTCCCAATACGCCGTTCAACGCTAGGTTGTATGATCGTTGTTTTGGTGTCCACAGAAGTGTGGACATCACGACGTCGCCATGCATCGGGGAGGCCAAGAGTGCTTCTGGCCCAAGGCGCCCTCAGCTCTTCGTACCGTTTTGGAAGCCCAGAACCCTTTGGGCTTCGTGATGGGTAATCTGACAGCCATCAGGGACTCCGATGCCCTGGAATTCCTTGGGGGGGGCATCTAACGGATTTGCACGACTACAGCTAGACGTTAGTTCGCTCGACTCGAGCCCGACTCAAGCTCGACCCAAGCCGATGGACGCTCGACGCAGGATCGACGAACGAGTGGAGCGAGTGGCTACGGGAAGGCTCCCGAAACGAGCATGTAACCTTCGTCCTGACATCTTCCTCCTCCTCCTCCTCCTCCTTCTCCTCCTCCTCCTCCTCCTCCTCTCGTCCTCCGATTCTTCTCTCCTCATCCTTTCCTCCGATCCTTCCCCTATCCTCATATGCTCCTTCCGTCCTCCTCCTCCTCCACCCACGGCTCGGAGTCCTGATGCGGAGAGGCGGCGCGCACAGCTTTGAGTCGTGCCGCGCGCGAGCCCGAGCAGGTGTCGGCGCGGGGGCCCCGGAGCTCCATCGGTGCGGGCCAGTCGGGGAGCGGAGACTTCTGCTGGTTATCCTCTGGCGCGTAGCGGTCGTTGCCCTAACAGTAAGGAGCGTACGCAGGGGGGGCCTGGGCCCTGCTCCCGTCACAGGCTGGTGCTCGCGCACATACTACGGCGATCGCAGCGCACCCCCTCGCCGAAGTGCCCCCCCCGTCCCAAACGTCATCTTTACCCGGCCCCCCAGCCTCCCCCCAGGGTGACAACCGTTACCAGAAATGACTCAAACAATGTCGTGGTGTGTGGGGGTGGGAGCATCCTCACATGAGAAAAACCGAACCGCTGCCGCTGTTCGTCTTGGGATGCCCTCGTCGGCACGGCTGGATTCTCCTCTCGAACCTCTTGCTAGAACGCCCCCCCAGGAGGGGTCTGTGGAGTAGCGTCATTGGCACCTTTAGCTTCTAGACCCCCCACATCAGGGTCGTTCTCTCTCTCTCTCTCTCGCTCGTTCGCTCGCTCGCTCGCTCACTCTCTCTCTCTCTATATATACATACATATGTATAATTACATATATGTGTATATGCTTCTCTCCTTGCCTCCCCCCTTTCCTCTTCCTCTTGTTCGTGCTTGCCCTGCTCCTGCCCCCTCCTCTTTCCTTCGCGCTCCCCCCCCACCCCTCTCCCCCGCTGCTCTCCATATCCGTCTCTCCCTCTCCCTTTCCCTCTCTCTCTCTCTCTTTCATTCTCTTCTCCCTCACACTTCTTCTCTCCCTCTCCTCCCCTCTTTTCCTTTCCTGTTCCGCTCCGCTCGCCCCCCCCCCCCTTGTGCGACGCAGCCGTCTCGGCTCTCGAGGTGGCGCGCCAGGGCCGCACGAAGGAAGGCATCAGGGGTCAAGCCAGGGCGCGCGCGCGAGTTGAGGGAGGGAGAAAAGGCCGACGAGGTTGAGGAGGACGATTTGTTTTGTTCGTTCGGCGCATTCCAGATGAAATCCGACTGCCTCCGCCGCTGTTCGGAGATGCTCCTGGATGGGGGATGGGAAGGGAGGGGAGGAGGATGATCAGCAGCTGCAGCAGGAGTAAAAAAGGAGGATGAGCAGGGGTTGGCTGCTTACCCCGCCCCGCGACCCTCCCCTAAATTTCCCTTCCTACTTCCCCACCCCCTCTCTCCCCTTCGGTGTGTGTGTGTGTGTGTGTCTGCGCGTTTCTAGAAGCTGGGTTGGGTGGCGCTCACCCGTTTGTCAAGCACTCGATCTCCCTCTCTCTCTCTCCCTCTGCGCTCTTGGCGCAGCTGTTTCCCCCGACGCTGGGTCGTCCGAATTGGTCGCGGGCGTAGCGCCCCCTGCCAGCCCTCGGGGGGCTCCCCCGGGCCAGAGCGGGCCCGCTGCAGGGCAGAGCCTGACCCAACATGCCCTGTCGGAGGATGGGCCGCTCCTTCCGCGCAGCACGCCCCCGAGGCTCGTGCGAAGCTGTCGGGCAGTGGCCCGGTGCGGAGCCGCGGACACCTCCGCTCGGAGGCCCGCCGGGCCCAGATCGCCAAAATTGGCCGCCATGGCCCGTGGTCCGAGGCGGAGCCGGCCGGGGGCGGCGAGAGGCCTCCGGGAGGCGCGAGAGAGAGGGCGGAGCACGCCAGGGCGGGCCGCCGTCGTCTCGCCTGGCCCCCGTTCCAGGCTCTGCCGCCTCCGCCCTCCGTGCACCCGCTGCGCCTCGAGTTCGGAGCACCGCCCAAGGGCGGCGGCGTTCCAGGGTCCCGCCTGCCATCCTGGATGCGCTCCGCGCCAGCGTTGACAGTGCCGTGGCGGCGAGCCGCGGGGCCAGGCTGCTGACCTGCTCCTGCTCCTGCGCTGGACATGCGCAGGTGCACCAGAGGACATCGCGAGGCTCAGCATGGCCGTCGGTGCCAGAGCGGGTAGGCTTGCGTCTCGAGCAGCTCTCTTGTCCCAGATCTCCTTTGCGGGGGAGGTGTTGTTGGGAATTTGGTTGTTGTTCTCGATCATCCTGCCATCTTGCAGTGGAAACCCATGCAAAGCAATACCTTGCTTGCCTTCATGGTGCTTTGGGTTTCTTGGGTTTGGATGGTTTTGCCATGGAAAGCGTGACGTTCCCGCACCACAAATCCATGAACGTCCTGTGGTCTTAGGGTGTGATTTCTTGTGGCAGGTTTCTTGTGGTCGAGCCCCTACTGTATGCTTCTCGTAAAGCTGCTGACCTCCTTTTCCTGCTCCTGCGCTTCAAGAGCCTGTATCGGACACGTTCATGTCTGGTCAGGGGCCTCGGTACTGGACCAGGGGTGTTTCCACGTCGGTGTGTGTGTGTGTGTGTGTGTGTGTGTGTGTGTGTGTGTGTGTGTGTGTGTGTGTGTGTGTGTGCGTGCGTGCGTGCGTGCGTGCGTGCGTGCGTGCGTGCGTGCGTGCGTGCGTGCGTGCGTGCGTGCGTGCGCGAGTGTGTCTGTGTGTGTGTGTCTGTGTGTGTGTGGCTCGTCCCCACGTGCCTGTGCTAGCCGTGTTTGCGAAGGATTTGTTTCTGGTTGTGTTCCACCTCCAGGAGGTTTCGCCGGCTGTGGTTTTGGCGCTGTCGTGTTGGCAGCTTGTGCTGCGCCCTGCTGACTTCTAAATCTCTTCAGGGATTTGGGGCTTGACGCTGACCCACGGGGGGGGGTCCACAAACCCTGGGGGTTCCACAAACCTCGGAGGGGGATCAAACCCAAGGGTTCCACAGGCCCACCCCGTGGGTGAGTCCCACAAGTCCGCAGAGGGTTTCACAAGGCCGCGGCGGTGGGGGCCTTGGGAGTGTTAGCGCGACAATTCGCATCCGTATGCCACGTAGGCTCGCTCTGAGGAGCAGCGCCGTGAGAGGCATGTCATGACGGAGGCTTCCCTGGGACCTTCCCTCCCTTGTCCCAGTCGTAGATCAGGAGGGGCACTGGTGCCCAGCGTCCACCAGGGTAAGAGGCTGCCCGAAGACACCGATAGGCCTCGTCGTCGTCCTCCTCCTCCTTACCATCCCCTCACTTCTGGCCCGACACAGGCTGACGCTCGAGGGCGGCCCGTTCGGAGGAGAGGGAGGTAGGAGGGGCGCTGGCTCCTCGGAGCCTTGCCCGCATGGGGCCTTGGCTAATGACTCGCAGGCTGCTACGAGGTCGAGGTCGCGCGGCTCGGCCTCCGACCTGGTCTTCGGCGCCCGACGGGGAAGGGGTCGAGGCTGCAGGAGGCAGCCAGCGCCGAAGACGGGACGGCCTCGGGCGAAAACCCTCGGAGGCCCCACAGGGCGGCCGCCACCTCAAACTCTGCACGCGCCGAGTCTGAGGGCCGTCGCACCCCGAGACGACAACGCGAAAGCGGGACGGCGAGTCCACATCGACTTCAGGCCTCGGCGCCGAGCCAGGTGCGGGTGCTCAGGCGCCGCTCGGGGCGGCGGCGGCGGGCCACGGGAAGGCCTCGGGGCGGCTGCCACGCTCCTCGGCTTAGCAGCGGCGCATCGCCTCTGGCCTCCTCCTCCTCCTCCTCCTCATCCTCGGTCCCTCCCCCCAATCTTATATTGTTTGTGTCGCGCATACTAGTTGGGCGTCGGCGCCTCGTCGTCCAACAAGGAGGTCAGGCCGCCAATCTCGTCGATGTAGTGCCAAAGGCCCTTCCAGATGTTTACGTCCTCTCAGCGACGACGAGTACATGCAGGACGGTGTGCAGCTCGGCGCGTGCCGAGGTCTGGCGAGGCCCAGGAAGAGGACAATACGCGGAGCCGTAGTAGAGCCTGTCGCCGACGACAACGGCGCTCCAGCTCGCGCGCGCAGAAACGTCCCAGTGGTGGAGCTTCGTGCAGGAGTCGTCCGTGAAGGTCTGACCTTGCGCGATGAAGGGCTCGGCTCGAGCACCCCGGTCGTAATGCCAGTCCCCCCGCTCGTCTCGCGGCGACAGCGCAGGCAAAAACGAGTTCGGGAATAAGCCCCCTTGAGTAGAGCAGGTCCCCAGGTGCCGTGCCGATGGCCGCCTGCAGGGCGTCCTCGTCCCCAGCCCGCTCTCGGTTTGGAGGAGGAAGATGAGGAAGCTGAGGGGGAGAGGCGGGGTGGGGGAGAGGGGAGGGGACGAGTACGGGAGGGTCACAGAATGAGAAGGAATGAGGGGCAGGGCGAGGATATGAAGCAGGAGGAGGGAGGAGGAGTGGGTAGAAGGAGTGAACGAGGATGATGGAGAGGGAGATGGGAGTTGAGGGACGTGAAATGGGGGCTGGTGGAACGGCGAGGGTACGGCAGTGGCAGGAGGACAACCAGGAGGATGAGGAGGAGGACGAGGAGGAGGATGTTTGGAAAAAAGGCTCTCCTGTTCGGGCCCAAGTCTGGCCTGGGATACATTTCGCGGAGTTCAGCAGAAGAGGCAGGAAGAGGCCACGTCGAAAGCTAGAGTTAGTTGGCTCTGCTGCTCCCCGTGTTCTATCATGCCGCTCGCCTTCTCCCTCGCGAATCCACACGTTCATCCTGCTTCTCCCCGCGCTGCCGCTCTTTTCCTGCCCCCTGTCTGCTTGACTCCAGCTCCTCGTCGAAGTCCTCGCTCTCCCCATTCTCGCTGCTGCTTCTCCTCTTCATCGGGCTGTCTGCGGCACATCCCGCCACCGTGCCAGCACGGCAGCACAGCATGGGAAGGTCCAGCTCAAGACCCGCTTCGCTTCAGCGCCCCTCTTGTCCGCAGCATTGCTCTCCGTGTCTTTCCCCCTCCTCCTCCTCCTCTTCCTCCTCCTCCTCCTCCTCCTCCTCTTCCTTCTCCCTCTCCTCCTTCCTCCAACTTGAAGTCGGCATCTAGGAGATTTATTGGACGCTTCTCTGGAGCCTCCCATTGGGACCCTCTTCGAGCTTTCTGTGGGGTCTCGGTGGCGCATCGACCTCTGGCGCCCGGTGCGACAAGGTTCAAGTAATCCTCTTCCGGGTGGTCTCGCCTTTGGGATGCCCGCACGCTGGCCGCCTGGGTCTTAGTTGCTTCCGATGTCTGCCTCCAGCCCCCGGCGCCCCTCAGCCGCTGCCTTTGCAGCCCTGGCTTCAGCCCTCGGCGCAGCTCAGCGTCCCTCGGCGGTAGTTCAGCAGCCGCTAGTGCTCGCGCTAAGGTTCGCTCGTAGCCCGAGCTGACTTGTGACATCGCTGGCGCCCTCGCCTGCGGCTGCGACGAAACAACAACAAAACCCCAGCCCATCCAGAAACGAGGTCCAGGCGAGTTGTTGTGATCAGGGAAGTGCGAAAGCAAATAGGGGGACGGCCGAACCGTGCGAAGGAGGGAGGATGAAATGGAGGAGGCTGGATGGATGGATGAGGAAGTGGGGAGAAGGTGGATGAATAGGAGGAGGAGGAGGTGGAGAAGGAGGAGGAAGAGGAGGAGGAGGAAGAGGAGGAAGAGAAGGAGTAGGAGGAGGAAGGAGGAGCAGGAGGAGGGCAAGCAAAAGGGCCAGAGGTCTCTTGGATGCCTCTCAGAGCCTCTTGGGATATCTCTTGGGCGCTTCTTGGTAACCTCCTGGGACGTCTTGGGTGTCTCTTGGCGGTCCCAGGAGGCTCTTCGGCGTCTTGGGTGTCTCGGGGGGGGGCGCTTGGGGTCCTCTTTGGGGCCTCCTGGGGGCCTCCTGGGGGCCTCTTGGGGCCATCATGGGGAAATCTTGGGGCCTCTTGGGGCCTCCTGGGCGCTTCTTGGGGGCCATCTTGTAGGACATCTGCCCCCAAGAGGCCAAGATGGAGCCAAAACCTTGGCAAAACCAATGATTGTGGCTTCCTCGCCGAGGCCGTTTGGGACGCCCTGACTCGCGACCCGCCCCGTCCAGGTCCAGGGCAGGGGGTAGGGGGGAGGGGTGCACCCTTCCCTGAAGGGGAAGGAGGGGGGTTGAAGAGGAAACTCCCTAAACCACCTACGTCCAGAGTGCTGGTGGGTGTACAGCCTTGGGGGGCTCTTGCGTCTTTGGGACGGTTTTGGGTTCTCTATTAGTCGCCTGGAGGCCGAATGGGCCGCTGGAGAAAAAAACATCAGGGGGGGGGGGCGGCTGTTCGATCACACGTGCGACGAGGGTTTTTGTTTGGGGGGTCAGCCCGAGAGACACTGAAGACACCATCCCAGACACCAGGCAAACATTCTAACACGCCCCATCGTGCCGACGACACGATTGCGGATGCTCGCATTAGCCCTCGTGTTTTATTGTTCCGTCACCCACTGTGCATATCATGCTGTCACCACGGAAAGTAGTGGTGCGCGGGTGTTTGAAGTGGATCGGTGGACGGTGCGCCATGTACATGAGCAGGTGCGCAAATTGAAGGATTGGGCAGGTTGCGAGGCGGTCCCTTATGTTCCTGAGATGATGAACGGTCGCGTCCAAGCGGTGCATCATGAGATGTCCTCTCTTCTTCTGGGGAAACGTAAGACTATAGTTTGCCGGAGTCCGGGTTTGCCGTATTTGTTGTCAGTCCCAGTATGGTTTTTGAGGATTCTGTCTTCGTGAGATGTTTGCAGCTGGAGGTGGAGTCCAATTGCAGAATAGGTCCCAAAATTTGTCTGACGGTCCAGCCAGGGAGATTCGAGTTCCCAAAACTCCAGCCTTACGTCTCTCCAATTATTGCGACGAGCGTGCACCGCCCATGCATTTTGAGTCCGATGGCTCTTTATTGGGAGAGGTGGAGGGAGCGAGTGCGTGTGTGCGTGCTTGCGTGCATGTGTGTGTGTTTGTGTGTGTGCGTCTGTGCGTGTGTGTGTGTGTGATAGTGCGTGTGTGTGTGTTGTGTGTGTGCGTGTGTGTGTGTGTGTGTGCGTGTGTGTGTGTGTTCGTGTCTGTTCGTGTGTGTGTGTGTGTGAATGCTGCCGCGCTTTGCAGTGTGCTGGCCAGGCTGCGTTGCGCCCCGTCCTGCTGCTCCTCCTATTCCCCCGTCTTTCTCGGCCACTTGGCATTCTGCGCATGGTAACAAAAGTGTGTGTGTGCGTGCGTGCGTGTGTGTGTGTGTGTGTGAATGGGCGGATCCAGCTTCTCCACGCTGCGTGAGCTGGCTCGTTCCGCGCTCTTTCGCTTGACCTGCCCTACGTCGCGCCGCCGCGGCGCAAAAACGCGCGCGTGGGCCTGCGCATCCGCGAGTCCGGGCGGGCGCCCCTCCGGCTGACCTCGCTGCGCCGCTGCGCGCATGGCCGCTGTCCGCTCGCAGTTCTTCACGGCCTCTCGGTCTGCTCCTTCCGCGGCCGCACCGGGCGGGGCCTCGGCGGCCTCCGCCCCCCTCCTGACGGCCCCCCGCCCGTGCTCCCGCCCGCCCGTGCTCCCGCCGCTCGGCGCCGGCACTCTTTGCTCGCCGCCGCGCTTCTTCACCGAGCGCGTTCCTCCACGCGCAGAGGGGCTACGCGCAAGCGTCCGAAACACGCGTTTGCCTCGATGTGAATACAGATCGTGCACCCCCCGCGGCGGATCAAGGCCATTTGCGAGTAGCTGCTTTGCGGGAAGTGGAACGCGCTTGTCTACTTCTGCTCCCGCCGGCACTCTCTGCCTGCTCGGCGCTGTCACTCTTTGCCCTCTTCGGGCGGGCCCAGGACCAGAGATACGCTGCTCTAGAGCGCTCCGGAAGGCTCTGTGAGTGTTCTGGAGCGCTTTGGAGTGGCTGCGGCGCCCGACGCAGCCTTCAGGACTATCGGGTCTCAGCGATTACCGATTCCGCCCCCCTCCTTCCCCCGCTGCCTGTCTGCGCTCTCTGTCTCACACGTCGTTCTTCCCGCAACGCTTGTCTTCGCTTCCATTGGAGGTCATTCGCAGACCGTGCCACGACTACCAGCTCTGTCTTCGACACCACACACGGTGATCACTTAGCTCAGCATGCATCATATCATGTCTTATGCTACCGCGTGTGAGTATGCGTGTGTGTGCGTGCGTGCGTGTGTGTGTGTGTGCCGTTCCCACTTGCTCCTCATCCTCTCGGCTTCGCGCCTCCGCGGTTGGCTCCGTGCCGCCCTCGGTTTCCTGGCCTGATTATTGTTCCTGACTGCGCCTCGCATGTCTGCATTCTTCGGGTGCTACACCCTCACCATTCCTGGTCCACGTATGCCTCGCTCCATGCGCTGGACCGGCGTTGGAACGGCGTGCCCCCTCCCTGCCATCCACGCGTGGATGCGCTGTGTGCCGCACTTCCTTTCATGCTCAGCCACGTCGGGCACGGCCGTCCTGGCTGGCGTGTCGCCTCACCGCCATCCACCATCCATGCCTTGATGTGCTGTATGGCAGCAGGTGTTGCGGGATCCGAAGCAATTCCTGAGGGCCCAGCCACGACCCCGCGCTTAGCACTCTGATTGACTCCGCCTTGTCGCCGTGCTCGACGCCGCTTCCGCCAAAAGTGTGTGTGTGTGTGTGCGTGCGCGTGTTCATTCACCACGTGGCATCCACGGGCCAAAGTCGGGCGAAATTCATCTCGGTGAGCACCGGCATCGGCCCCCTGCCAGTCTGGGAGGCCATATCACCAAGACTTGCTCCCGATTTGCGCTTGGGGTGCACGAATGCGTAGGAATTTGCAGTGCGCTTGCGGTCACTTGATTTCCTTCCAGGGAGATCTCTGGAACATGTCTGGATGATGTCGTAGGAGATGTTCAAGGCGCGACGACTGTTTGAGACTCGCTGGCAGTATTCTGGAGATTTGAGATCCGCGGGGCGCTTATTTCGAGCTTGGAAATCCGCTGGGAGATTTTTGGATATTTACAGGACGGCTTGGATGCCACCATCGACCCAATCTGATTGTTACCCTCTCTGTCTCCCTCTCTTGTCTGAACCTCCCCTTCTGTCTCGGCCACCGTCGAATTATGCATGATTGAGGTTTGACTGGCAGGCGTGCGTGTACGATGCTTGAATTGCGCTTCGCATTTGCTGAGCTCTCATCCTTGCAGTCGTTTTTCATCGTTATGCTCTTTGTCCTGCTCGTCCTGATCCCCTCTGCGATATTACATTCGTATTGTTTCCCCCATCCCTTGGAAGCGTAAGCGGGGGGGGACGCGTCTGTGTTTGAACACAGGACCCCGCACTACAAACATACACCCATTGCGTTCCCAGGTTCCAGCATGCTTCAGGCGTTTTTTACTCCAAACATCGAGTGGGCGTCCCTTCTCCATCCTGTCCTGGGTGGCGGGTGGAAACTCAATATACGTCCAATTCTTTCTTGCATCATCTTCCTGTGTCCTCGGAGCGATGAGTCAGTGGGGGTCGGCCGGGTGGGCCTGCCGTTCGTCCTCCCCCGAGTCATCGGGCCAGGCAAGCCCCTGGGGAGCAGGAAACCCCTTCCAAGAGCATGGGCGCCGGCGCTCGTGGGCCCCCCCCAGGGAGGGGTGAGGCCACAGGCACTCCCGCATCCCGTCCCCCTCCCCCCTCCACGGCTATTCCCGGGCCTGTTCGCTCTCCACTCTTCTGTCCTCTCTTGTCGTCGTCGTCGACGTCGGCGTCGTCGTCATCCTCCGCCTTCTTCCTCCTCTCCCTCCCCCTCCCCCCGTGGGCAGACCGGACGTTATCAAACACTGGCACCCTTTGGATATTCATCACATCTCTTCTCGTCGTCGTCTCCGCCGTTGCCTTCCCCTGTCAGAGTCGTCCTCCCCTTCCACTGTGCCCGTTTCTCCGCCCTCCACTCATTGGGGGCTGGTATGACGCTCAGGGCAACATCGTCTCCAGTAACGGCGGGTACTCTGGTACGCCTCTGTGGAAGCTGAAGCAGCAAGGGGCGTTGCCGAAGTTCCGCCAGGAGGAGGAGGGGCAGGAGCAGGAGCAGGAGAAACAATCCATAGACGAAGATGAGGGGAGCGGACGGACAATGAGCAAACGTTGGAAGAAGAGGGATGGGAGCCGAAAGACGAGGACGACGACGGAGGTGGAGGAGGGGACATCTGAGGTGGAGGCGGTACGGAGGCAGAGTGGCGCAGGAAGAAGGGAGCATGGAACAAGGAGGGGCGATGATAGAAACAGAAGAAGGAAGGGAAGATGAGGATGCTGGTTAGGGTTCGTTCGTGAAGGAGGGAGGAATGAGGAGGCGGAGGAGGAGGAGGAGGTGGAGGAGGAGGAGGGATGATGAAAGGGAGGGAGGAGAGAGGAGAGAGGAGGAAGGGGTGAGGCGGGCGCGGTGGAGGAGGAGACGCAAATTGTGGATGAAGAAGAGCCAGATGATCAGTTGGAGCTTCTCACGGATTTCGAATTGTGGTTGCGTCTTGAGATTTGTGCCGTGATTCATCTGCGCGGGTTGTTTTTTTGTCATTTTCCCCACCCACCACCATATCTCCTCCCGCGCCTTATCATCTATCCTTTCTTTCTCCTGCATCCTACGTCATCCGCTCCGACTTCCTAACCCCTTAGAGTCCTGGAGATCCTTACTGAACCTCGGAATCTTGCAGCGCCTCCCGAACCTACGCGTCTCCCCCTTTTTCCATCCTTCCTCCTGCGCCGTTGATCTTTGCACCCGCTCCTGCCTCTCTGGCTCGTCTCTGATCCCCCACCTTCCTCCCTTTTCCTTTCTCCCCCATCTCCTCGCATCCTCCTCCCAGGACCACCATGATACTTACTCCTTAGAACCCCTCGAACCTGCACGTCCGCGTCGAACCTCTCGAATTCTTCGAGCCCTCGATGGCAGTTCTCGGACCGCTCTCAAGAACCCCTGGAACTGCATCCCACCTGACCCCTCTCACCCTCCATCCCCTCCCCTCGTTCCTTCCAGCCCAACCCAACAGTATTCTACGCACTCCTCCATTATCTTCTATCGTCCTTATCCCGCCCTGCCGCTCTCCTTCCTCCCCCCATGCAGCCATGGTATGCCATACACTGCTATGGCATGTGCCGATGTTCTCTGGATGCATGCATTGATCTGCTGGGCTACGCAGTGTCATGCCATGCATTGGCATGCCGTGCAATGGTATGTTGTTTGTCGATCTGTTATGGCACGCCTTGCGCAGCAATGCTATGATATGCAATTGTTGAAGCAAAGCTATGCAATGGTGCGCATCGCGTTCCCTTTGGAGGTCGTTGTCCTCTTGGACGTCCTGACTGTGCGAAATGAGGGGTGCCCTACGCAATGGAAAGGGATGGGAGGGTGGTGTAGGACGTCAAAAATGACACAAGCGCAGACCGCGTTTCCCTCCCCCCTCCCTCCTCCCCTCCGACACCCCCCTTCCTGTTGTCGCGCGCCCTCCCGCTGCGCCGCCCCCCCCCCGTCAGGATCAACCAGGAGGAGGAGGACGCCAAGGCCAGCCCGGGGGGGGGGCAGCCCGCCCAGGCCACGAGAGGGACAGGACGGACGAGCTGCGGGTTTTCGATTCGGCTCTGGCGTTGGTACACTTGCGGCCCAAAGCCTCCTGCTTCTGCGTGGTGCCGTCCAGTTTGGCTCAATCTGGCTTGAGTGCGGTGCAGTGCGGGTTGACCTGGCTCGGGCCCCCCCTCCACACGGAGAATTTGTTGCGTGTGACCTGGGACACTTGGCACGCCCGGGAAAATTGCAGCTGTGAGTTGAAACGTTTTTGATCCTTCATTGTCTCTACGAGGACCTTTCCAAGTTGTGGCCAGCAGTGTCCTGGTTCTGGGGGCTCTGGTTGGTTTACAGTCGAGTCTGATTAGGTCAACCCTGCCAGATCAAGGGTTCCTCTGTGTCCTGTGTATCGCGCCCCATGTCCGCAGCACTCCTGGGGCCGCGTGGCTCTCGGAAGGTTTTTGTGTTCTCTCTCGTGGCCTCTCCCATGCAGCATCTTGGCATCGCTCGGACGTGTGATTTTTTTGGCGAGGAGCATCGAAGAGCATCTTGGCTCATCTTGCGATGAATGAGCGCCCGAAACCGAACACTGCACGGGGATTGGACGTCCGAGCGATGGCAGTAGCCTCCCGAGACGGGCTCCAGCAGCAGGGAACATCGATTCACGGCATTCTGGACCGCCATGGAAGAGCCGCGGCGCCTGATCCACCCTCCAGACCGTTGGGTGTCAGAGATCACAGATCTTATCCCGGTTCTATTTTGCCCCTGTCTTGGTTTCGTCCTATTTTGATCGTTCCCACGAAAATCTCCCAGGGCTGCCCTCACTAAGCACCAGTCGGGCAAGGGGGGGAAGGGGGGCCGATCCCCTGAAGGGCCGCCGGTGGGCCAGACGGTGGCGGCCGGAGGTCCGCCCCGTCCTGGGGAAGGGGGGGGGGGCAGTCGGAGGTCCGTCCCGTCCCGTCGGATGGTGGGACTCTTTTTCAGAGCCTGGACCCCGTAGGGATTGTTTTCGAATCTGTACGGCCATCCAGGGGCGGTTCTGGGAATGCGGACCTCCCCCTCATCCTGTGGTGTTGGGTCCTCATTGTGAAGAGAGTGCCCCGCGTCTCTCCCCTCTCCTCCTCCTCCCTCCTCCCATCCTTGCCTCTGTCGTGCGCATGTCTCTGTTTCGGTACAACCCTCACATGTCTCGTGGCGCCGTAAGGAGCTCCACCGAAGGCCCACATGCAAGCGTTCGCATGGGCCCGACGCGCCCATTTCGGCACACCCCTCACACGCTTCGTGCCCCACAGTCATGCGCCCGCCGCACTCATTTCGGCACACTCCTCACACGTTTTCGTGGCCTCATAGGGAGCTCCACCGAAGGCTCCAGTGGCTGCGTTCGCATGCGCCCGCACACCCCTCACACGTTTCGTGGACACGTACGGGGCTCTACCGAAGGCCCCAGTGGCTGCGTTCGCCTGCGCCCGCCGCTCACCTTTCTGCAAATCCCTCACACGCTTCGTAGACTCACCGGGAGCTCCACCGAAGCGCCAGTGGCTGCGTTCGCATGCGCACACGCCTCACACGCTTCGTGGACCCATAGGGAGCTCCATCGAAGGCCCCAGGCCCCAGCGGCTACATGCGCATGCGCCCACCGCGCCCAATTCGGCACACCCCTCACACGTTTCGTCGCCACGCAGGGGGCTCCACCGAAGGCCCAGTGACTGCGTTCGCATGTGCAAGCCGCATGTATCTCGGCACACCTCACACACGCTTCGAGCCCCCCCCATAGGGAGTGTCACTTCTCGCAGCAGTGGCTGCGTTCGCATGCGCCCGCCGCACCCATTTCGGCGCACCCCTCACACGTGTCGTGGCCCCATAGAGAGAGCTCCATAGGAGACGATACTACAACTGCCTTACTCACAACTGCATATGGTGCTGTCCTTCGCCAGGCATTTTGTTTCAACCTTGCTTTCTTTCCATGGTTTGGGCCCTCGGGGGCTGTTTTCGGACCCTGGGGCCATCGAAAGTGGATCCAGACGAAAACATTACCCAGGGAAGCGGTCGGGACCCTTCTGGCCAGGGACAATCTTTCAGACTGGCGGATGTGAAGGTTAGATTCCGGCAAGGTTGCTTGCATGACATTTTGCCATTTTGTCCCTGCCCCTCCCCGCCAACCTCGACTCCACTCGGCGCTCGGCGCTGGGCCAAGAAAGCGTGCAAGTGACTTTCGGCACGCAAGATCTCCCCCCTCCCCCTCCATGCAGGATGCTGGGGGGGAGGTGGGGGGGAGGGCCAGGGGGCGGCGTCCGCTGGCGATCGGTAGTTCAAAGATATGACCCTAACGAGGGGCCTGGAACTTTGAGTTGAAGCTGGGATCCCGGATCCCTTCATGTCCAAGGCCTATCCCTGTATGGCCCCATCTCTGAACCGCCCAGGATGAAGCGGGGCCTTCTCGAGGTGTGGCGGAAGGGGCAAACTGTGGCTTGTAGGGTTGTCCACAAGGGCTCTTCTCCGATTGGCTTGCCGGAGATAAGACCTTAAATGAGTCGATGCATATCTACTAAGGTGATTGTGGACCCAGACGTTTCGTGCTAGTCTTAAACATACATGCAAAACTTGAGAAGATCGCGGAAGCTCCATCGCTAGTCGATGGAGAGCAGCAGCGAACAATTACGAAGCGTCTTGGCCCAAGCATTTTGTATTTGTTGTTCTGGTTGTGACCGGTATGTGCCAAGGAGGGGGAGGAAGACGTCAGTGGAATTGGGGGGGAGGGAGGGAGGGGCATCGGCGATGGGCATCGGTGGACTTGAGGGCGAGGGGCATTGCTGCGCGAATCGCTGGCGCTGCCCAGGAGATTGCTGTAGTCGGGCTGGCAATCAACCGGCTGCGTCTCGTCGCCGTGGCAAGGTATCGACGGTCGGCGATGCGATCGACGTATCGTTTCGACGTGTCGATGGCCGACGAAGCATTGCCTCGCGTCAAGGCGATGATTCGACGATGTCTCGTCGATGCCAGAGTCACTATATCCAGCTGTCCAGCTGCTTGCGGCGAGTCCCGCCACCTTGCCTGGGTTGTGGGCTGCGTTGCCTCTCGTGGGCGTGTTGGCAGTCCTCAGGCCTCATGGGGGCCTTGTGGAGGACTCGTTGCGGCCTCTTTTGGGGCTTTGGGGGGCCTTTTGGGACCACTTGGGGGCCTCTTGGGGGCCTCTTGGGGGCCTCTTGGTTGGATGCCATGTGGGGCCTCCTTGGGGCCCCTTGGGGCGGAAGGCTCTGATTTTCGGCTTGTGCCCTCTCTCTCCTTTTGCGGCCATCTTGGGGCCCTCTTGGGCCGTCTTGGGCGCCCTGTTGGCCACTTTGGTGCTCTTTTCGTCCGTCTTGGGGCCCTCTTGGAGGCCTCTTGGGCCGTTTTGGCGTGATTTGAAGGGGCCTCTCCGGCCGTGTTGAGCATCGGAAGGCCGAAAAGGCGGGAACCCTCAAATCCTTCAAACACCCAAGGCAAATCAATGATTTTCGCCTTTGGGGGCCCTCTTGGAGGCCCATTTGGGGCGTCTTGAAGGCCTCTTGGACCATCTTGGGGACTTCCTGGGCGCCTTGGAGCGATCTTGGGCTGTTGTGGAGGCCGTTCGACAGCCTGGGTGGGCTGGCTTCCTGTGCCGTCATGGAAGCCTTGGGGAGCCTCAGGGAGGCGCCGTGGCCGCGCAGGGTCGAAGCGGCAGTACGGGTGATGCAGTCGCCTGTCTGCCGAACGAAGAGTGGGTGGTCCTTAGAAGATTACATAAATCTGCCAGGCAGCCCAAGGCATTCTTCCACGCCTCAACGTGCCGCAGGCACGGTGGCGGATTTCCTCTCGAGCGGGTCCATCCGTGAGGGGCTTCTCTGCTTTACCCCTCGTCCATCCTCATAGATTCCCGTTTCCCGTCTTTCCTCATTCCTCCCCTTTTCCCATCCTCTCCTTATCCTCTGGAGCCCCCCTCCTTTTCGTCCGCCCCTTCTTCCCCTCGTTACCCCCTCGTTCTGGATTCTTCCCTGCAGTTCCCCTCCTTCCTCCCCAGCCGCCCTTCTTTGCGCTCCCCCCTCCCCCGCGCCTCTGCCCCCCATCCCCCCCATTGCATCTTACTGTTTTCCCTCCGTTCCCCTTTCTCCTCCATCCCTTTTCCCACATGTCATCCTTCCCCTTCCCAGACCATCAGATACATCCTATACTCCGTTCCTCCCCCATCTGGGTTCCCTACACGATGCCACAGACGAGAGAGGAATACGTTTGGTGGGAATGAGAGCTAGGGGTGAAAAGGAGGAGGAGGAGGAGGAGGGAGGAAGGAATCAGAGGAGTAACATGAACAGCGATGGCGATGAGACTGCCATTATTATTGTGATGCTGTCCACCACATGTACTAGTAGTAATCACACTCAGTATTGATCTTGATATCCGTAAAATTAAAACTATGGGTAGTACTAAGGTGAAACAGCAGTCATAATGCTGATGATGCTGATGATGATGATGATGCGGACGATGATGATGCTGGTGTTGGTGATGATGATGGTTGTTATGATGACGATGCTGCTGCTCATGATGCTATTGATGATGATGCTGTTGCCGAGGCTGATAATGATGATGTTGCTGTTGATGGTGATGGTCATGGTGGTCCTGCTGATGCTGCTGCGGTTGAATATGATACTGGTGGTGATGGCAATGGGGACGGTGATGCCGATGATGATGACGATCATGATGCTGATGGTGATGCTGATGATGATGATGATGGTGATGGTGATGGTGACGATGATAATGCTGATGATGATGGTTATGCTGATGCTCATGCTCATGGTCATGCTCATGCTCATGCTGCTGCTGATGTGAATGATGATGATGATGATGATGGCTAGGAGTATGAGCATGATGGTGAAGGCGATGGTGACGATGGTGATGCTGATGGGAGCCTGCTCTCGTTGTTGTTGATGATGGCGGTGGTGTTGGTGATGGTGTTGGATGATGGTGATGATGATGAGGAGGAGGAGGAAAGAAGGTCAAGCAAGTTTGAGGCAGCGGAGAGATCCAGGCAGTGATGATGATGATGGTGATGATGATGATGATGATGATGATGATGATGATGATGATGATGATGATGATGAGGATGAGGATGACGAGAAGGAGGAGGAGGAGGAGGAGGAGGAGGAGCGAGGAGACAGGAGAACTGATGAAGGGTGGCCATTGGGGTTGATCTCTTGGGTAGGTTTCCGCCTATATGCTGCGCTCCTTCCTTTGCGATGCCTTCAGGCCTACAGGCTCTGCGGGCTTTCGCAGCCAGAGTTGCGCTGCGGGTAGCGCCTATAGGTTCTGCCTTTTGGTCTCGCGGGTGCCCGTAGGCAGCGACGGCCTGCACGCGTGCTTGTAGGCAGTGGGGGGAGGAAGGGAGCTAGGGACGGCCTGTAGGCAGGAAGGGCTTGTATGCGGAGAAGGAGGAATACCCGCTCCTTCCGCCCCCCATCTGGAAGGCGGCTGCGGAGGCTGCTTTGCAGGAGCAGCTAGAAGCAGCTGAGGCTGCGGACAATTTCCCGTTCCTCGTGGAGCGCCAGGGGGGGAGGGGCTTTCCTGGTGCAAATGCCAATAGTCTTCGAGTCGGCGGCTCATATCTGCTTGCCTCCTACTCCTCCATCCGTTCATCCCTCCTCCCCCTCCCCATCTCCGCCCCTCTGTCCTCCTCACCCTCCTCCTCCGTCCTTTCCCCTCCTCTTCCTCTTCACTCCTCCTCGCCCTGCTCCTCGACCAACTACAGGGCCAGTCGGAAGAGCTACTGTCCAGGCCTATCATCGCGCCCCTCTCCTCGTCGCTTCGCCTCTGCCGCAGGCATGAGAAACATTTGGCGTCATCTTTTTGCCTGTTCCGCTCTGCGTGCCGTGGCTCGAGTCATCTTGTCGGTGCAATCACTGGTGTCGGCTCTGCTCCCTCCGCGCGCTCCTCTTGCAGTCAAGGCGCTGAAACAAGGCCTCAGTTTGTCACTGGAGGCGCTCTGGTTTTCGGGCCGTCCTTTAGATATACGTCCGGGACCCGGTACGTGGCCGAGGCTCGCCGTGGCCAGAAACCCCCCTCCGTTTCTCAATCGTCGTTCCATAGGATGGCACGATGACTGTAGCCTCCACCAGACGTGCTCGTGTCATTCGTTGACGCTGGCGTGGCAGTTGCTTGCGATTGTGTCATTGCGTTTTTGGCGACATTTTCTCGTTCTTCACATTTGTTTCTTGTTCGTGGAAGTCTCGTCCTGTTTGCTCCTACTCCCGTTCAAACTACGCCTCTCCTCGTCCTTATCCCCTTTCCACATTCATCCCCATCTCCCCTCATCCTCCCTTGCCTCTCGCCTTCATCATCACCCATTCTCCTGGACTTCTCCTCTCCACCTCGCGCCGGAGAGCAAACGAGGACGCGATTCCACATGATGGTTGGGAAAACGATCTTCCATGCTCGTAAACCTGGGCCCCCAAGGGATCTCGGCACAAGCCAGAAAGTGCTCGCGGATCCCTCCTCCCCATCCTCCTCATCCTCCTGCTCCTCCTCACCCCTCATCCTGTCCTCCTCTTACGTCTCCTCCCTCTTTCTCCTTCTTCGCTTTCCACCTCGATTTCCTCTCCCGCCCCTATCATTGCCACCCGCCACCGCCTCTTCCCGACAGAGTGGGAAACAGCCGCTGGCTTGTGGACATGGGGCAGGACCCACCGAGCGGACTCACTGAGCAATTCGATACCGATTTCGGCCAGATCACGCCGATTCGCTTCCGATTTTCCGGCGATGCGCTGCGTCCGGGTGTTTGCGCGGCGTTGCTGTGCTCTGTGCCGATGCAGCCCGATCCGATGTACATTTCGATTCGATTCGATCTCGTGGTGCCATGTTGATTGATGCTGGGGGGGTGGCGACCCGGCGCGAGGGGTACTACTCACGGGCAGCGCTAGGGAGGGGTAGGCTCAAGGGGAACACATCAGCCACCGAGTTCCGATTCATCGCCGTTGAAAGCCCGATGGCCAACCCTGCACGGGAGCGTGCGACTTTGCCATCAGATGCCTCCGAGTGATAGCCCAAGATGCTTCGCGGGCCTGTCGCTGATCTATTGGCGATGTATCGCCGAGTCTAGGTCTGTGCCCCCCATAACGTGTCCCCTCGGGTAGGGTGGAGGAATGTGTATAATCGATTATGAAATGTTTGTTTAGCCTCGGGATGCTTTGGGATGCTTTCCAGCAGCTGCGATTCGTCTAGAGCTTTCCGCGGAATCGCCATCCAGGGCCGTATCGCCGATTTACCGGCGATGTATCGGCGATCCCAGCTCGATGTTTGCCCGCGTTGTGCCGCCCCTGGCGCGCTCCGCACGCCAGGAGGGGGCCCAGCGCCGATCCAAGATCCGCATGGGCCTGCCAAGGTGCACGTTGATGCCTCTCATGATTCTTCAAGGCAGCGCGGCACCACCATCACCAGGTGGACGCCACCTCCTGCGAAGAGGTCCACGATGCTTCCCCGAGCTGCCGGTCGAAGATGTCTCGAGCGAGACGGTGGGACCACAACACCAGGAAGACCTCCGTGGCTCCTCGCTCTGGTGATGGGGGTTTCGCTTCTCATTGCTTGTATGAGTAACCGTACGGGGTGATCCTTTGCCTTCGTGACCTTTGGTGCGCGACTTTATGGGCGCGCGTGGGGGGAACACACAAGACCGCATGCCGCTGCTGCCACATCGCATGCAGCGAACGTCAAGCCGCAAGCCGCGCACCGAAGGTCACCCTTGCATCAGGCCGCACCTGCATGTAGTCGGTCGGAGCGCGAGAGTTGCAGAGCGACATGGCGAAGGTCGAGGGAGAGCGCTCCGATCCCCGAGTCTCGTTCGAGGGTTTGAGGGGGAAACTGGCGGCGGCCGCTACCATCCATAAAGAAGAAGACGAAGGATGCAGAGGATAAGGAGGAGGAGGAGAAGAGAGGAGGAGGAGGAGAAGGAAGAGGATGAGAACCAGTGTAAACCCTCCCCCCAAGTTCCGTCTTCACAGGCCCCTTACAAGGATTCATTTTTATTGAGTGAATAGCCCCGCTGGAAGACAACCGTTTGAAAATCCGTTTCTGTGCCAGAGTACCGCTGCTGGGAATTGGCACCCCGAATCTTGGCGCGTCTTGGCGATCCTGAATCGTGCCGTGACGCTATTCCTGGGACTTCAACACCGCGGATGCACGTGGCTGCTGCGCCCTGGCATTCTGACGCGGTGACGATATACACTTTCTGGGACATGAGCCAAAATGAATCCTCGAAGCGGCTGCAATCTCTCAAGACGAATGTGCGCGGCGCTAGCGCGATAACCATATTTTTTAGAAACCGCCCTCCATCCATAAAGCTCTTGTGCTGTTTTACAACTACTGTGCGTGGCGCTAAGGTGAGAGACACATTTCGACAAACGGACCGCCCTTCATCCGTGAAACTCTTGCAGCTGTTAAAGACGCATGCGCGCGGCGATGAGGCGAAACTCCATTTTTTTGAAAACGGCCCGCTCGCCATCCTAGAACATTCTGCAAAGTTTTCAGGAAAGGTTTGCGCGCCGCTAACGCGAATGCAACATTTTTGAATGCCATTCGCCCTCCAACCGCGTAGCTCTTGCACAAAGTTTTGAGGCGAATGCTTGCTGCGCTAATGCGAGAGCCGCATTTTGAAAGTGGACCGCCCTCAATCCGTGACACATGTGCCGAGTTGAAGTTTCAGGACCATAAGCGGTGAGAACCTCTCAGGCAAAACGCCCGACCCGCCTTTTCGACCAGCGTCGTGGTGCGACAGGGAGGAGGTAGCTGTCAGGGGAGAGGATGGAGGGAGGAAAGAGGAGAATGATGAGGACAGGAGTCAACCCACCATGCTTCATGATGTTGCAATGCTCCAGGGTCCTTATACATCTTTATTTTTGACCCTAAGAAGCGCTTCCTGGAAATATCAGCACCCTGTGGGCCTTCAGTTCAGGCGAGAAGCCCCGGGGGGACACCCTCCACTGGTGGAGGGTGTCGGAGCCAAAATCGCTCTCCTGACGGAGGCGGAGACCGTCGGGCCCTCGGGGCGACAGCCCCCCGCTCCTGGGGATGGCCGGCAAAGCGCCGTCCCCTTCCCCAGGGGGTCGCCTGGCGCGCAGTCTCCCGTTCGGACCAGGTGCCCCTACGTGGGCTTCCCGTCCTGGGGGTCGTGCCGTGCCAGGCGGTCCGTCCTCCTCGCCGTGTCGTGTGTCGTCGGGGTAGGCCTGTGTAGGTGTGGCGGGGTGGCGGGGTCGTGATGCGTGGCGCCGCGTGCCGGTGGTCTCTGGTGCGCGGCCGCTGGCCTGCCAGAGGCCGACCGGCCGCCAGTTTGCGTCCGCGTTGCGTGGGCTCCTCGCAGGTTCACCATGGGCCAGCCCGCCGCCCGCAGGTGAGGCGGGCGCGCGCGCCAGGTGGCGCCGACTGTTTAGGCTGCGACCAACAACGCACCAACAAAAACACCCAGGCGAGAAATCCTTTTGAAAAGGAATTACCTTGCATCAATTTAGGGAAACAGTGAAATGCGAAAGGGTACAGTCTGGATAAGGACGAGTAGCCGTCCCAAGGGTATCCTTGCATCCTTACCTCTCAGGCCCAGTCTTAACCACTTTCGACGGCCAGCCCCGCTCGAAGAACTTCGACATAGGCGTCCAGGAAGGGATTTGCATCCTTATCTCGCATCTTTATTGCCAGTTCCGATTGTATGTCAAGACGGTTCAGCGAGGTGTCCATTGAGACCTCCGCTTTGCCAACACACCTCCCACTGCTATGCAAATGTTGCACAAGTTTGCTCGTATGGCCGCGGATCTCGAGGAAGTCTGGAGCGGGACCCATTTTGAAATGGAACCGCTTCCCAGCCTTGCAGCTGCTACACATGTTGGCCGTTTGTTTTGAAACTAATAGCGGATGCAATACCCCCGTTCTGAAACAAAGAGATGTCCACCAATCTCATCGTTGCAATGTTTTGGAACGAGTGTGTGCGGCGCTAAAACTCGCCGGCCCAACGGGCCAGAGGCGTGCTAAGATCTCCGGTAACTACCTAACAATATTTCTAGTTCGCGCGCGCGGGGCGGCCCCTGGGGGTCCCCCGGCGAAAAGTACCCCGACCGCAGCCAGGGAAGGTCTACTCAGAGATGGTTTTCCTCCTGGATACGGCCTCTCAGGCCCCCCAGAGCGCGCCAAGAGGGCCCCAAGAGGCCCCCAAGACTGCCCAAGAGGCCCCCGAGACGCCCAAAGGACGCTCCAAGACGCCGAAGATGATCCCAAGCAGCCCAAGAAGCCGCCAAGACGCTCCAAGTGGCCTCCAAGAGGCCTCACAAGAGCGCCCCGAGAGGCCAAAATCATAAATTTTACGATGGTTTTGGAAGGATTTTGGCCTTGTCGCATTTTCGGCTTTCCGATGCTCCAAGACGGCCCAAGAGGCCCCCAAGAGCGCACGAAGACGGCTCAAGAGGCCCCCAAGAAGGCCCCCAGAGAGCCCAAACGGGCCCCGAGACGGCCCAAGAGACGCCCAAGACGGCCCAAGAGAGCCCCAAGACGGCCCCAAGAGGGG